CCACGCAAACAGTTCAAACTTCTCCCAAGGCTGTTTATTCTGTGATAGCACATGTCATAGATCGGGAGTGTAATGTGAAAAGAAAAACTAAAAAAAGAAACGGGAAGGTGTTTTGTATGCCTGGCAATGGCATGTTGCCAAATTCTGTAGAGGTAAAGTGTTTCATGCAGTGCGAGAATGTGGAAGGAGACACCACTCCGCGATGAGCGGAAAAGGTGAACTGAACTCCCAAATAGTGATCAGAGACAAACTGATGCCGAAGTGAGTTCTGCCATGATGCAGGTTCCTGGAGAACAAATGCAGCAGCAGCCAGAGAAAAGCGGGCTGCCTTCAGCAGATGTTTCATGTGGCAGTGATGAAGAACTTGAGCTGTCAGTAGTGATAGGTGCTTACTTCTGTCGGAAAATATTGTTTGGAAAAGTAGAGAAACTGTCAGAATCTCTGCAAGGGGCGGAATTGAAAACATATTCTGCAGTGCGGTTTTTATGAAAAGCATCACTGAAACTTCTTGTGTGAAGACCAGCATTGAGGAGATCACCTAGATTTTAAAAGTGCCTGGGAACAAATTTAAACTCGGACCTCCTAATCATCTACTGTGTATCAAGCTGCATTCATTGCACTCAGAATCAGATCACAAAGGCTTTCCTATTGCTGTTAAGCACAGAGTCACCTTGAGGTTCTTGTGGTTCACAGCACCTCTGATGCCAAGGAAATTCCTCTCAAGGGAATTTTGAATTTTTGTGTTTGGTACTAGTTCGTCAAGTTATATATATTTCCAGAGACTCACAAATTCAAATATCTAATGAACATTTTCAAAGATAAAAAAACCAAGAGAAGCTTCTTATGGTGATTGGATAAAATATTTATTCCCAAGCTATTACTAATACCATTTACAGTAGGACTGATATGTCTTGGCAGGACGGGAAGTTGCTCTCAAAAAAAGGAAACCAATGATGTACAGAACTGCTTCAGCTGCATCACACTCATCCTCACATGTTCAGTAGTGCAAGTTAGAAAGCCTGAGAGAGCAGCAGCATATAACAAGTGAAAGACAAACTATGATCGGACTAGTCGTGTCATTAGAAACTCACACGCCACATCTTGAATTAAGCTGGAATGGGGAAACAAACTAAAAGGTAATGGACATTCAGTGAACCCCAAATCCACACTTTGTCTGATTCTATGAAAATCATCAAGAGGGTTTGCAGCTGAAAGCAAAGTTTGACACACTTGTCACAACTGGGTCAAATTGTAGTGGACAGCTTTGCCCGTCTGATCTCATCACTAGTTGTCCGACAGCCTCAAAACAGATAGAGGAACGGTCCTGGTGGTCAGAGGAGCCCTCGTTCCTGAGTTCAACGGTGCAGCCAGAGTCATCTGATGAATAGCTCTGTGAAGAGCAGATAAAGGCTGAGCTTCGGTTAAGCCAAGTCGCAATCAAGCCGACGAACACAGAAGAGACATCAAGCTGAAGAAAGTGAAAGCTTTATTCAGAGTCACAACCTGAATCAAACAAGTCATCCACAACTCTCACTCAAAGGGAAACTGACAGCTGAGGAGCTCACTCTATTTTTTAAAAAAAATTCAAGGTATCCAAACTGAAATAAGACATAACAGCAGAGGTTTCATCGTGAAAATTGTTTTATTAAGGAGGAAAGCTCCATCAGTGAGACAATTTCAATGAGTAGCATCAATGGATTCTGCTTTACAATCACAGACTACCCAAAATGCTGTTCAAACACAATCATAACCACGTGATACATTCACTTGTAAGACTTCACAGTGGAAAATGGGTACAGAGCATTGTCCCTCTGTATTGGACCTTGACTCTGGGTTCTGTCTCTGGCAAAAGAAAATGTCATCATGAAGTAGATTCATATTATAGAAACGGCCTCAATTCAGCCACTTCCCAAACCTTCAGTCAAGCTGATCAAGACCTCGAAGCGCTCTGGAAAGCGAACAAGGAGCGTGACCTATATCAAGTTATTTTCTCAAAGAGGCGTCACATGGAAGTACATTGCAGAGTGTACTTCCACAGCTTGGAGGCGAGCACTTGGGGAGGGATTGGTTTGATCAGGGAGGAAGTTAAAGAAATAAAATTGTAAAAGCTTCCTTGAGCTTTGACGGGAAGAACAGGAAGAACCACCCGGTGTCAGTTTACTTTCAGACTGGCAACTTTCATTGCTACTTGGCCCGTCAAGCTTCCTCCTCCAGCTGACAGGAGCTGAACAGTAATGTTGCCAATGCCCTTGACTTGTGGGCTCAAAGGAAATGATGAGTGAATAAATTGGGTAGAGTGACTAAAAGTTACCTGCAGTAAATATGCTGTCTAAATTTGTACACTTCTGTACTTCCATTTGTTATTTTGAGTGCATAAGTGTGTTAGTACTGAATATTGCAGAGCACGATAAGTACCTGGACAGTCCAATCATACTGTTCAAGAAGTTGAGTGTGTGCACTTCTCTTGCACTTCGTTATGTAGCATAAGGAGAGGGGTTATCAGTTATTTTAAAACGTGTGAAAATAGCATCAGAGGGAGGAGGACACGTTGTTAAAGCAAACAGTGGGATAATTTACATATCCACTGGGCACACCTAAGAGAGGAAAAGTGAGGAAAAACAGCTGGAAGATAATTTGGCAGGTATCAAATATTGTGACCATCATTGCTCAGGGGACAATGGTTGAAATACATGCACTACATCAGGAAGTACGTTGTCCAATCCAGAGTTCATGAGGTGCATGAATCATGAGGTGCATTATTCGGCGCCAGTCAACATGTGACTCTGCTCCTCTGTTCTTTTCAAATCACTCACACGTGGAACTAATCTTTCTAACAACCTGCTGAATTCATATGTATGTGCTCATGGATAAATGGGGCATCGCTTCCTCTGCATGAAAGCAACAAGGTACAGGATGTTAAAGGTACAGTGTGTAGAATTTAGTGATATCTAGTGTTGAAATTGCATGTTGCAGCTGAACACCCCCTTACCTCACCCTCTCCTTCCAAACATGAAAAAGAACCTGTGGCAGCCTTTAATTGTCATAAAAACTCAAAAGGTGTTTAGTTTGTCCAGTCTGGACTAATGTAAAAAACATGGCAGCCTCCTTAGAGAGGGTCCCCTCGATCTAAATATAAAGTATTTAAATATAAAGGACCTTTTCTGGGGTAAAGAAAACTACAATTCATACAATTTAGATGAAATGAACTAGTGAAAACATCATGAGGATTATTCTACATTAAATTTCTGCCAATAGTTCCCTTTCACCTAAATCTTACACACTGGACCTTTAAAACACAGCCTTGCATCATATCTGCAAGGAAGGATTTCTCTCCATGCCGCAGAGTGTGCATCTACTCTGTTGCTCTTCGCACACACTGTATTTAATTATTAATCAATGGTGTCGGATCATGAATCCGGATCGCTTCGGTCACTTTAACTCTGATTTGTCCTGGTTACCTCTCGTGTTGTGTGTAGCAGATAAACTGCGTGTAAATGTGTCTTATGAACGCTTGAGTCAATCAAACGAACACAAAGTAAACTTCAAGTCCTAAAGATATGTCCTAATAACTTTTGATTGGTGTTTGTTGTCCATAATTGAGCACAGGTCAGCAGGAGTGTGGAGGGAGGACATGTGGCAGGTACAAGGTGCACGGGCCACTGCTGCAGAATGAACGTAGCAGGTCGTGAATGCAAAACATTTTATAGATCTGAGAAAGATTGATATTTACATCCTCACCGTGCTTACACAGTGCATAAGCAGTGTATTGACATATTGGACCATTGTTATATATCTATTATCATGTAATATTGTTACTGCAATTATTTCACGATAATTATTGATGTTGATTTACAGCCCAGCCCTTTGTCTGAATGTTCCATTTAAATGTATTCCCACCATAATGGTCATTACACCATCTGTGGTATGAATGTGTTTTATGTGCTTATAGGATATGTGTTTGCTCTGGGTTCATACAAACACCATCTTCACTTATCTGCATATGTTGTAATGGTGCAGCGGCCTTCACATTGTGTTGCATCACCCCTGTGTCCACAGACAACACGGCGGTAATGATGTCACATTATCATCCTGCTGAGCCGTAATGCCACATGACACATGTCTGCCGTTAGTTAGAATTCTTCTTATGGCTGCCACACTTTCTTTTAATTTGACGAGGCTGTAATCTCCATCTACTAAAGGACTTTCAACAGCTTGAGCCTAATCAAAGAGTTTCTCTCTCTTCTTTGTGTCTGTGGATAAGGAAATTCAATTAGCTTAATTGGCCTGGATATTATGCTCTGTAATGTGGTGTCGACAAACTTCACAGGGCACTTTAGAAGCACCCCACTAATGAGAGCAATAACTTTAATCCAAATGTTTTACCTCGACATTCCAGATGATTCTAAATTGAAATCCAGGTAATTAGCTGAAACAACCCACGAGGAGATGGATGGCGCCCTTTCTTGACGCCTGCTAATGGCAAAGTATAAATGAGGTGTTGCATTTTTCTCTTGTTCCATGTGTGACACATGACAGAACAAAAATAGCAAATCCACTTTTAACTCTGGCAAGATGAAAGCCTATCGTGTTTTTATCGCTGCACAAAAGGTGGATTTGAAAAAAAAAAGAAAAAGTGATCTCATTTGAATGGGAAATTTCAACCCTGAAACCATGGCTGTTCACTCTGAGGTCCCTTTCATTTTCACAAAACTAAAAAGGGCATTTTACAAGCAGCAGAGAAAACTAGGGATGTGATTTTAGATCAATCCCATATCATAGGCTGCAGCATGCTTTGCTGGTTTGGTTAATGAACAGGGAAGCAGGCTGTATCGTCGACTGGTTTGCATGAAATGCTGGATATTTAACCTCAGTTACCTGAGTAAACACTGTGTTTTATAAATGAAGGGGCAAACTTTCTTTCAGAATGAATCTCAGCCTTCAAACTATTGAAGAAACAAGTTAAATCCATGAGAACGAGAGAGGAAAAAAAGACGTCACACTCACTGGTAACACAATAAAACTGTATTACATTTGTGCTTAAAATTATTACAATTACAGTATTTACAAGCGTTGTCCTAAAAATAAACATCTCATGCTGGATGACACATAAAAAGAAATCATTGTACAATAGCAAGCAAAAATGAATATTTCTTTTATGTACACCCATAATTTACAAATTAGAGAAGGATCTTTTCTTTACCAGCTAAGAAATGTTGCTGAGCACTGTATCACACGCTCAGCTGCTGATATTTAAGGTTAGAAACAGGAACGGTTTTGAATGTTTGAAAAGGATGTGACTCCTCTGCAGCAGGGAGCCATCACGACTGAGATGACTGACCTTGTTGTGCAGGTAGCTGCTGCACTGAAACCACCCTCCACATAAGCCAGCGATTGAGAAAACATCCACTGGATTTAAGTACCAGCAAGTCAAACAATGCATAATCTCGGACAACTGGTGAAGCATTGAACGTTTATCAAATAAATAGTATACAAAAAAGTAACCAACCCGCCCTCCATCCCACACCGATCCCTTCACCCCCGACAACCGCTACAACAACCTGCCTCCATGAGAATTTCCGTTGGACCAATGCAAAAGCAAGGTTTCAATAAATAGAAAGACTGCAAAAAAGAAAATGCACAGCCTTCCACCGCAGGAGAACAGAGCCTGTAGTCACAGTCCAACCCACATCTGAAAGTAGCACTGACGGAATGCATTTTAGGAATAGAAGCGACTCTCGTCACCCTATGAAAGATCTCACACAGCCAGGTGTTTGTCTTACAGGCATTAAGTCTGGTCCATAACGTTTAGAGCTGCTATATTTGATTCTTTCTTTTTTTTTTAACAAGTACAAGTCATAACGTTTCACACATTGTACTATCAACATACTGAGCTTCATATTTACACATCCAGCAGACGAAGAGAAACTTTAGCATCTCATCGGCGACAGCAGCCAATATTTACTCTCACTTTAGCTTTGGATCACTCCCATGATAAATATCTGCTCCACTTAGGTCTCCTGCTAGATGCTGCTGACTTAGTGTGACTTGTGTGTGGTGGTAGGAAGGCAGGAGGATAAAAAGCTCAGAGCTGAATGGTGGATAATGATTCTCTGTGGCTTCTCTGTTTACCTTAGAATTAGGAAATGTATCCATGTTTTTTCCATTGCTGTCTACTTTGACCTGGAAAATGTTTTTCCATCGACATTCAGACTAGCTAATCACACATTTATTATCACTAGTCATCATGGGTCAACATTTTCGTTTGGATTCTTAAGGTTCTGAAACGACTATATGGACCAGACCGAGCCTTGTGAGACTGCACTGCGGAGAAGTGCTCATCCTGAAGAGGGATCCACACACATACACACACACACACACACACAGACACACACACAGACATAGCAACATATCAGTCATCCCAAGGCGTTATTTTTGCCACTCTTCAGTTTACATTCACCGTGTTTTTTTTAAATCTGATATCAATACAGTAAAAAGGTCTTCATCGCAAAATTACATTGATTGACAATACCTCAGTGTGTTTTAGATTCAAGTAGAAGTTGGTGGACTGTGCAGTCAGGTGGGACGCTGTCTGTCCTTGTCAGATAAAATGAGACAAGTCTGGTTTTGGGTGGGTTTACTTTTTTTTTCTTCCAACAACTGGGAAACACCTGTTGGTTAGAAATTTCTCTGAGGCCAGTGTTAGTTGGCCTGAAGGGAAGAGGCAGCATCCATCAGTCACAAACAAAGAAATGGACAAACTGTTGTAGTGTGTTGTATGCTTCCAGGGCCTTTCCCTGCCACGCCGGCGTCTCTATGGCTATTTTGTACAGCAGAATGTGTCCCCTCCAAGGGAGGCTTTCTTAGTTATGTACATGTGGGGGACAGAAGATGGACAGGAGGCTATAGTGCTTTTTGTTGTGTGATTGCAAGCTCTCCTTCAGTCTCTCTCTTTCTCCCACTCCTCCTCTTCCTCCTCCTCTTCCTCCGTGTCGGCCTACGAGGGTCAGCGGACCTGGGGAGCGTAGCCCTCCTTCATCAGCCCCTCCTCGTAGTCTGTCTGGCACAGGATCATGTTGTTCTTCAGGAAAAACTTGTCTCCCACACAAAACCTGCACCACACAAAGAGACAGAAGAGGAGGGGTGGGGGTTTACATAAGCATCAAAGCGAGAATCTGATCATTAGTACTGAGCTGTAGGCTAACAGGCCCAGCCGGCTGCAGCGATAGCTCTCTGACTAACACTAAATCTCTACCTTAGCTACCGTACCCCCCCACCACACACACACACACACTCTTGAGCTGCAGCGATGCCATGTGCAGACAAGGAGTTCTCCTCTAGGAAACAGTCAACTCAATTACAACGGGGGAAATGCAGGGCTTGGGGGGTGGTTGTTAGTCTGAGTGGAGGGGTGGGGACTCTGGTGTATTCGAATAGAATTATCTGTGTTTCAGGCCCGGGTTTCACTTCTACCTGCAGCTACTACAGGAACCCCCCACCGACCACGGCAATCCTGTGCCGGTCCAGCCATGTGGAGGGGGGTGGGGGGGTGGGGGTGGAGCACAGTTACGCTTGACCTTTCAGCACAGCACCAAGTGGAGATTATGTTGAACACGCTAGAGCGGTAACTCTCACTGTATTGTCCTGAGGGCTGCTTATCTCCCTCAGTGTGCAGGTTGGACAAGGTCGGGAAGCAGCGGTGCCAGTGTTTACCAGGGGGGAGGTGGAAATGGGGTGGGGGGAACGCGGGGCAGCGAGTGAGCCTCGCCTCCGTTTGACTTCCCTGGATGTCAAGACTGCCGAGTTCAGTGCTGGGAGCTGCACTGAGGCAGCCCAGGTACCTGAAGAGCTGTGTAGCATTTACTCAGGGCTGCAGGGCAGATTGAGAGCATGATTTGTTACATCCAGTTGGGACCAATTAGCAGGATTCAAATGCACCATAGGTACTGGCACAAAAAAAGTGTGAAACTCGTCTGTTTCTTGAAATAAAGCCAATTGTTCACAGGACGAGGTGGCATTTATTTTAAAAGCTGCAGGCTCAAATATATTTATTTTATCATGGATGTATGGAATAAGGATAAAGTACATAACTCCAAGCTGATTGTAGGGATGCTTATCCAACCTCCATATTACAGTAGGAAATGATTGAAGTGGCCTTTTTTTTGTGCTCTTTGGAAGCTTTGTCCCAGGAAACTGAAAAGCATTCTATTACAAAGTCCTTTTAAACCTATCTTTCTTAAGATTTTATAGTACTAAAGGTTGGTATAGAAGCGTTATTTTTTTTCCTTCCCTGAGGTACACGTACTCTAAATAATAAAGAATCAGTCTTAAGGCCTAAACCTAACTACCCCCACCAAACTATCTTTGTTTTCCACTTTGGACAGGAAAAAAAGGTAGAACAGAAGCCTCAGCTGACTTTAGTTCATCCTGAACAAGAGTGCAGAATCTTTAAAAATTACGCTTTTAAACATGGGCTGTTAGACAAAGTGATTATACAGGAGGTAAGGTGAGTTTCATGAGATGGTGTCATTCCCTCCAGTAAAAATATCGTGCTCTCTCCCAGTATCTATCAGTGTATGTCTTTATTGACACAGACACACTTTATCTCTATTTATTTATTTATTTTTAACACCGTCTCTCCACTGGTACTGTCCCTCCCATCGGTGTCATCTGCGCCCATTTCACACAGCCAAATTGTTTCTGCTCAGTGAAATGTCAACAGCGTATGTGACATATGTGCACCAGTTATGATGCGGATATTACACTGGGCCCATCACAGGCATGTCTAGTAAAAGACCTTGTGATACCCTCATGTTCCCACTTTCTTAAAAAACAGCTGCAGGGCACATCTTCTATAGAGTTCTCTGGTACAGTGTGCTGATGTACTGTTTCGCTGCAACTAGACTTTGCAAACAAATCGATCTATAAGTTTGTGTTGCTCAGTGCTGATATAAACATGAGGGAAACAGATCCAGCAATATCAACGTGCAGAACCTGCAACAAAGCCTGATTCACTCTGGGTTGAGAAGCTGTTTAACCAGTTTAACTTTCAGTCCAGCTTTAAGTGGAGAGTTATATAGATTTCCCCAAAAAAAGGCAAAGCTGAGCGTAGCATTTACACAGGAAATCAAATAACCAGACCAAATTAGCTTCCTCTGCCCAGTTATTTGTAGTTTTTATCTTATTTTAGATCTGCTCCACAACTTCTTTATTATGATTTATACACCACATGTCTGCAATTGTAACACAATACATATACAACGATGAGGACTGTGTGATACTGTTGCATCTGCTGTAACAAACTAACTATGTGGAAAATACACAACGTCTCATTCCTAAATCTTGTGACTCAGTTTACGGTGGAAGGATTTTCACCCACCTTCTTCCACTGTGGCCAATGAAAGCAAAAAGAGCTTTGTCTTCTTGGCTCTTCACACTATTTGGATGTTGTTTATTAGTTTATTTGAAGCATGTTTTAAAAAAATCTGCAACTGATGTGCAATTACGTTGAAACCTGAAGAAGGTCAAGGCCATGACATCATATTCACACTCATTTCAATATTTTCCTCGGCCAAGGAGGTTTTGTTTGTCTGTCTGCCTGTTAGCAGTATTGTGCAAAAGGTAATAGATGGATTACCTTGGTAACTTGGTGGAAGGATGTGGTATGGGTCAGAAAAGAAGCCATGAAATTCTGTTGCGGATACAGAAACTCTTTTTCTCTTTCTTTAACATTGTTAGGTAGAGCTTTTGCAACTTTTTCATTGATTTCTCAGAGAAGATATGATGGAACTTGATGAACAAATGTTTCGGGGACTGATATTAATGAGTGTGTGCAATTTGATGAATGTAATCTAATGAATTTAAATATTCTATTTTGTCTTTAGACCACCTACACATATGTGACTGATCATCATAGGAGCTGGTAAAGAACAAACCTTCATTAACCTTCATAGACCACACAGGGACATAGCTTAATATTTTAGCCGATTCTGATTCTGAAGTGTTTAAGGAGAAAGTACCCTTTCTTTCCAGTCACAATGGTGTATTACCCTTGTGTGAACCATATTTGACCTGGAAAAAACTGCACCCAGTGAAAACAGAACATTTTTTTCTGATCTGAAAGCTGTATTTAGGTTTTTTGCTGCTTCGTGTGAAGTTTGGTGAAAACACACCCTTTTCCTTAGTGGGTTACAGATCAGAGATTTCTGGATTGTAACACGAGGAGGCACATTTCCACTAAGCCCCAGTAATAAAGTCAATGTACATGTACCAACACAGGGCTGAATGCTGGTAAATTTCCCCTCCAGTGAACCAACAAGCCTCTTTTTCCCACATGTGTGTGCACGTGTTTTAAATCCACCATGGTTGTTGTAAAGACACAAAGAATCTGAGGACTCATGTAAAACCCGTCTCTGTCACAAGCGGTTGAAAAGTTATCTAATGTTTTGTTGTATTGATGCTACGCTCTCCTGTTGGGGGGGGTTACAGGTCTCCCTTAACACCACATCTGTCATCACAAGTATCGTATATAATGATGTGCCATCATATCATGGTTTCTAACTTTACAGTCAGTCAGTTTCTGCTGGTGCTGTCTTCCCCGCTACCTGGGCTGCCTTCACTTTCTTCCCTCCATCTTCCTTCCTTTACTAAGAGGTGACTGTGACTAATGAGTCTTTGGAGACCTATTGTTGTAGGAGGAAGAGAAAGAATGGCTTCCACAGGCACACACTTAAAAGATGTATTGCGATGCCAGCCATTTGCCTCGGGGGCTCGTGTTAACTAGAGTATTCACTTTCCACTCAAATGAAGAAACAGGGAGGTTGTCAAAGAGAGGAAATAGTCTCAACTGCACCAAATCTAATTACTGTTAGGATGCATACAGGTTCAGAAACACTTGGCCCTATGACACTGATGCTTAATTGTGACAGTGTGTTGTAAATCTTCTGCGTCAGATTGCTGCTGGGCAACCAGCGGCAGCACAAGGACAAGTGGAAGATGAGTTTTTCTTTGGGGAATGTAACGTAGAGAATACAATTTCACATTTGGAAAGGGAGGAGATCGACATTATTTATTTATTTTGTCTCCATCTTTGGTGATGAAAGTCTGCTGCTGCTGCGGTTGTGTTTAAAAACACTGGTGGTTCTGTCTCCATCTAAGAAGTTCTGCACTGGTGGATGTGGGGCTAATGAAGCCATGGTGTTAGACCCATGCAGTCCACAAGCAGATCGCACAGACGCTCATTTGGGAAGCGTTCAGCGCACAACCACTGCAATATGTGATGTGTGTGAAACTTCGGAAAATAGATTTAAGGCACAAAAATATGGTGCAGGTAAAACCAGCTCTTTAACAGTTGCACTTATCTAAGGAACGTATCCTTGCCACCAGAAGCTGAAAGAAAGGGCAGCCCCTTGGAATCCATAACTCAAATGTAAACAACATGGCCACCAATGCCAAATACATGAACTGGCTCTACTAGTGTAGAGAAATTGACATTTATTTTACTTATACATTTTGTCATTTTTACATTAGATTTTGATTTTTCTCCACAGTGCAGGGCTGTGTAGTTGTATTGCGTTCTCTAGCATGCTGGCTGCACAGGCTCTGAGACCTCACCACCAATCATACACAAAGTGACAACTGTGTCCCTTATTGCCTATTAGGCCCCTGTCTAACAAGCCTAACTCATGACATACAAGGCACCAGTGGTTGAGCTTAGCTGTGCTGAATCCAATTGGTGTCAGTTTCCCCTTCCCGAGCTCCAGCGGGGAGCCTCCTCCCTATATCAGCACTGACCTTCCCCTGCACTGTCACCCATCCTGCTCTCCTCTGCTCCGCACTACTCTAACCTTCCTCCAGCCTCCCTAGACTGTGGCCTCCAGCTCATCAGGGGGAAATTGGGCCAGCACTGGCTAGATGATGAGGCTGGACGACAGCCGTATCGATTAGCTGTCCCCCAGGGCTGATCTGTGGCTAACTGCTTGCTGGATGGAGTCTCATATCACTTTCCTTATTCCCAACACCCCCACCCTCACTAGCACCTTCCCTGCTCCTCAGAACCAGCTCCCCGCCCTTTTGGCTCCCAGACCAAGCCGGTGCTTCCTTTCCTCAGCTCAGGTAGGGAAAATAACAGGTCTGAGCGGTGGGAAGGTCACAACGATAGATTTATGTCCAGTTTAAGAGAGTAAGGCCACAGTGGGTGCAGACATGAGCAATCAGAGCCAATGTAGGATCCTATATTTTCACTGATAGACCAGGGACAGGAGCTATTCACTCCCCTCAGCTTGATACCATTTCAAAGTCAAGCACAGAATGAAGAAAGAGGTGGAGGGAAAAAGGCTGTTGCTCTCTGGCAGATACACAAGTAAGATAAGTGGTTGGGCTCTTCCATTTATCTTATTCTCAAGTCTTCTGTTGTGGCGAGCAAGAGATTGGTGACAATTTGATGGTAGCGATGGCAAAGAACAAGAAAGCGGTCGCAGGTCGTGACATGTCCACCCCTCGGCTACTGGGACAGTCGTTCCACCTGTGCCCGGCACTAATTAGTCTGTCATTTAGGCAAGGCCCCATAATAACAGCAGAGCATGGAGTCCTGCAGCGAGTCCCTGATGAAATCTGAATAATCCCTCGCTTTGGGTTCCTTGTCCTTGCTCAATGGGCTACAGTAGTGCAGACATACCCGTAAAGCTATCCAAAGCTGCATTAATGCATGAGCGAGTATATATATGTTTGTGTGTGTGTGTGGTGGGGGTGGCTGTGTGTTCATACTTGATTGTAGCAATTCCACCTTCAAACGCCAACACGGGCCGCGGCTGACCTGCAGGAGCAACGGATAATTACACCGCGTGACCCCCAGTGACCCCGTGATTGCCTGCTCTGTTTATCAGATTTCACATTTTATGACAACGTTCCGCTGAGAAATCTCTGGGCCATTTGTGAGATGGATTAGATTGCTTTATCGAGAGGGCCCGTAGGGGCCGGGGGGGGGGGGGGGCGCTGTCGGGTTTTCATGTTTGTTTGAGGCTGGGAAACAAGAAAGGGACAGGGTGGGGGTGCAGAGCCGGCATAGATGAACAAGGCAGTAGATCGGCATGCCAGACAAAGATCAGAAGCCCCTTTCCTGCACGGCTGCAACAAGATGTGGAGAAACTATTTAGAGACTCTTAAGTGGGATCAGATCTCCTAATAGATTGCACGCTGAGGCTGAGAAAATCTGCAAAGGTCACTCTATTAATCAGGATATAAATATGGAGTCAACCACCTGCGGAAGACTGGACTTATATAGTTGTTAATGTCGGCACTGAAAAAGTGAACTAGTCTGAACATCTTTAATATGCTCCACTAAAATATGTTTTCTGGAAGTGTCGCTCTTCAACCACATGACCTCAAACGGAGGCGTCCTCTCAACGGGTATTCTTGCAACAGCTCTACCAATGTACAGAAACAAAATGGAAAACAAAAGTCAGAGGCGAGAGGCAGCTTCAATTAAAGCCAGTGCCACATGATAAATCTGGGCCGGGTCCCGGTGAAATTGTGATGGGCATCTGAACGGTGCTTGCGAAGCCACAGCGGACCACGTGAAACACTCCAACGTCGATTTTATTCAACAGTTCAGCAGCTGCCCTAATGTAAAAAGAAAGATTTGCTCGCGCTTAAATGGGTTTTAATGTGCGGGAGCAGAGTTGGCCTGCCTGGGCCTGGCTGATGAAGATTAGCTGACTTCTTCCATTAGGAGAGGCTGTCTGGTGCAGCCGGCTGAAGTGGCAAGACAATAACCGAGTGCTAATTGTGCGTAACCAGCTCCTTTGCCTTGAGCATGCACAATGTGTCTGCTTTGTGTGCACGGGTGCTTGTGTCTGTGTGTCTGCAACAAAGAGTTTAGAGGCAAAAGGATGAGAGAAAAACAGGAGCCAAACCAGCACCTAACCTTCCCCACGTTCCCCTATAAGGTTTTCTGATGGATAGTATTTCTGGTAACCTTCAAGAAAAAACACTTTGATAACATTCTGGTTTGCTCATTAGCTCCAGGAATGTTCCCAGAACGCCTTCGCAGTGGTTCCATTATAGTAACGTGACGATAATGTCAGGGGACACGGACCCAGTGAGGACTTTACAGAGTAGTAACAGATTTAGATGTAGGTATTAGATTTAAAAGTGACACACATTCGTTGGTGGACAGTAACTAAGTTTACTGAACTACTGTACTAAAGTACATATTTGAGGTACTTGTACATTGCCTTAATATTTCCCTCTGAAGGAGAAGTAGGAAGTTACAGAAATGCCAATACTGACATTTTTTACTAAATGCATATATTTTTAAATCCGATCCGAATACTTCTTCAACCATTGTACTTCTCAAATGGTCCATAAAAGAATTGTCGTCAGTGTTTGGGGGTAAAGATTGTGTCTTGTCGTTCTACATCACGTTGGCTTAGATGCATTTAAAACTAAGCTGCATTGGTTCAGAAGATTTACTGTGAGACACCTTTCACTTTTATAAATGATGCAGAACTGTAAATAATGAATAATATAAGCACTGAGACCCGATGTGTTGCAGGGCTGTTGTATTACACTGTAATAAGTAGTATCAGTGTTCATAATAAACTCATTATAGGGCTGCTACAGAAGTTCAGCCAAGGTGACACTGGAGTTTCTTTAAGAAGTGTTTTCCTATGACTAAGTTCGATGCCTCCGAACTGCTCCCTCTCTGGTGCTGTGGTCAGGAAACAGTGTCCTGAAGTCTCTGTCCGCATCCTGATGCAGTCAGAGCCCCGGGTAATGAAGACTTATGGGAAGCATATGTATGGCCGTGTAACTGCACCTGTAGCTCGAGGCTGACACTGTACAGTAGTAGTGCAGGATCATAATCACTGCGCCGGGCCCAGTGGCATCCTTAAGGCCTCGGAGGTGTCTGCTTGGTCACTGGTTAGAGTGATAAATTCCGGGTGTGGGATATTGCTTTAACTACGAGGAGCACTCGGGATTTCACTGTGCCGCAATCTAGCTTCCCACACCAGCCATCTGCCTGCACACAGGTACGGGAGAGGAGCAGGGGTGTGGTCCAATCGCTCACCTCTGATTGCAGAGCTGGCACGCGAAGCAGTCCAGGTGGTAGACGTTCTCCTTGGCCCTCATGACCATCTCGAAGGCCGGAATGAGCTTGCTGCAGGCTGCGCAGTTCCCCGTTACACCAAACAACCTGAAATCCAACCACGCAGAGACACACACACACAGAAAAAAAGACACATGATGTTAGTCATTCCAGTACGTGTGAGTCTTTCTTAGACTATACTCACGTGTTTTCATTTTAAAACAAAAACAGGAAGCAGATTGTCTACTCTGCTGTTGGTTGCTTATTTGCAGGTAACACTTTGATCAAGGCCGTCACTGCTGATTTTGAGTCTAGACTATTCTGAACATAATTTTAATAAAACAGGATCGGCAGTGTTTTCAAAAGTCTGTTTTAGGGGCTTGAACACTCAAAATAATAAAATGCGTGTGTGGACGGAGACTCATTTATATGCTGTTTATTGAACCTTGTTATAAAAGGAATAATAATACCTTTATTTGTAAGGTACATTTCAAAAAAGCTACTGCAAAGTGTTTCACAAAGAGGACAAATAAAAACAAGCAAAATAATAGATGAAGTACAAAATCTAAAACGAAGGACAGCAAATACAATCGCAAAGGACATTATATAAATAATCAAGTAAAAGCCATTTAGTAAAAGTGTGTTTTGAGAGATGATTGAAGTTTTTGATTTATTTAAGATAATTTTTGTCCTGAAGTAAAATAATCCTTAAGAATCAGGGGTTATATGAAGCTGAGATTAACCCTGACCTTAGTGATGTGCAGGTGAAGGTTTTTTGTTTTTATAAATTATATAGTTACAAGGTTTTGGTGACAGTTAAACATAATTTTCTATGGCAACATGACCCAGTGGATGGAGGATGTTTATTTCACTCTCTCATGGTCCAGAATTAGTGAAGCACCCAACAGGAAAAGAGGAGTGCAGCTGCTGCTTCTGCGGCTCCTTGGTGACTCTGAGAGGGAGAGTGGCATCTGTCAAAGACATAGTGACAGGCACGCTAACGTGCGCTACAGACAAGCATAGGGTCTCTGAATCACTTTCAAAAATAGGTTGGACAGAGCTGGGCTACAGGAGCGCAGTATAGAAAAAATAGCAGGGCCTCAGCTTGTGCCATGGAAATAGATGGGACACGGCTAGCACTACTGCCCAGGGAAGACCCTATTATTTCCTCGCCTGCTCCGGGGACATTAATGTGAGTATTCATTAGGGATTCAGGGCTGTTACTACACAGGGACCTAGACCAGGCTAGCAAGGGAAGAAAATATCTGATAACGAAATCATATAACAAAATAACCTATTAGGCAGACTTCTTGAGGCACTTTTAGCCGTCGTTGTTAAAATGATAAAACGCCATGCCACTCTCAGAGTCTGTAAGAGATCGCAATCTGATAAATGATCTCAGGGCTCGGGATATGCAGGGTTGTTTATTAACCTTCAGAAAGCATGTTTCCCAGAGGCTAAGGAAGCAGATAGATTGTGCCCTCATAAATACCTACAGAATTAAGGACCACTGTCAACACACCTTGAGACAATGAAGGATATCTCTTAGAACATGGTAGGTGGGTGAAAACACAGAGGGCCAATTAGATGGATTAGTGCTGACTTAATTAAAAGAATTATGCCTTTTCCTGTGAGCAATCTAAATTTAGATACATTTGTGCTACTGCTTGTCCTTTCTCTTTTTTCCGCACAAATGTGCACTGCCTGGAGCGCCTCACATGAAATAGATGAAATGATGATGTCTCTCCTTTCAAAGCTGAGTAATTGATCTAAAAAAAAAAAATCTCTTTGGAAAAAACAGAACCAGAAATGTGAGATTTTGGGGCGAGATAACGAGTGTTTGAGGACAACAGCGGCACTTTGTGCAGCAGCTCAGGACAAAGAGTCATAACGCAGCCACCTCTCGCCGCGCAGGGCCGAGTGTCCTTGTCTTCCTGTAACCTGAATCATTTTCAGATAGCATACACTCAAGGCTCTGGATTATAAATGATGGAGGACATTTGTGTAAAAAAGCAACGTTTTAAGCTCTCTGCCTGTCAGCTTGAATCAAAAGGGTGTTCTGTTTCACTGTTCGCCGTGTCTGTCCACGCTCCTCTCTCATCTCTTGCAAATTTAAGCTGGCCTGTGCTGCTGAAAAGGACTGTCACACTACTTGGCTCTGAAAAATCCTGGGTGAGAGTCGTTGCATCTGTTAACATCCTGCGTTTGTGTGCGTCCCGCATTCACATTAACCTATAAAACCCAAAACATCTCAAACCTGGTGTGTTTCTACCATGAGGTAAAAGATGTAATTTTACTAAAAATAACATTGTACTTTTATGAGAATAATAAAGTCATTATTTTACGAGTAGTAGGTAATAATATAATGAGAACAAAGTCATTATTTTAGGCTACATGTCATTTTATAAGATAGAGCGATACTTTATTGATCCCGAGGGAAATTTAAGGGGTTATAAGAAGATCAGCTTGTTGCCTTGGTTAAATTATGACTTTGTTCAAATTAATTACGACTTTATAACCTTATTCTTGTAAAAATGTATTTTCTTTCAACAGATTACGACCTTATTGATGTAATAATTTATTCTCATAATATTTATAGATTATTCTCAAAATGTCAGAATCTCTTTGACTTTTCTTCGATATGGTCCGTATGTTTCAAAGTCTTTTTCTTCTTTATTTATACATATGTTGATGGAACTGCTGATCAATGTCAATACAAATACAAATAAGAAAGAAAAGGAATTAAAATGTTAATATACATGTTATAATTGCACAGTGGCTGTTTGTAAGTATCACAACACAAAGGGATTTTGTATAGTAGTTCCAAAATGAGGATATCAAGATAATCTCCTCTACAGAGGATGTACAAGGTTGTTTGCTGTGTGTTTCACAAAGCAGGAAGTTTAAGATACTGTCATGGTTGTGGTTTTGTTTGGTCACGTTTTGGTGTATTTTGTCACGGTTGTGTATTTTCTGTGTTCCTCTCGTGTTCCCTCCTGTGTTCCTCTCATGTTCCCTTCTGCCTTCCTCTGTGCTCCACCCTGTGATTCTCCTGTGTTGTTCTCTATGTCCCTCTCCTGTGTTCCCCCTCCTTGTCCCTCGCTATGTTTCACCCTGTGCCTCTCCAGTGTTCATCCCTGTCTTGGTTATTGTATTTGTGTTCTCGTTAATAAGTTTGTTCAGTGTTTCCTGTTTTATTTTGTAGTCCTTGCTCCCTGTGTGTTTTCACCCTTTGACTTCCTGCCCTCATCAGGTTCACCTGTTTGTCYTGTGCCACCTGTCCCCAGTTACTCATTAGTTCCAGTGTGTATTTAAGTCTTTGTGTTTCCCCCATGTGATTGTTGGTTCGTCATCTCGGTTCCACTCCTGTTTTTGAGTGCGACTTTTGTTTCTTGAAGATTTCTTTTGTTACGTTTACCCCTTTTAAATAAAATACACTTTTTGTTAAACCATATTAAGTTTCTGCGTTCCCTTCCCTTTTTTCCTACCACGTCCGTTCCCTCCCCACACACCCCCAAAACTTGACAGATGCTCATTGTTTGAAAAGTTTCTAATGTTCCGTTTGGAAGGAAAATGAAAAACCTGTGACAATTGACGTGCATTACGAAACACAAGTTCCTCGAAAGAATTGGTGCATGTGGAGAACTCAACAATCTAAGCACAACGCCACCTGACCCTAACATGACATGTCGTGGGATACAATGTGGCTCAGTCTCACAGAAAGTCATGGACGTTAACACTTGAACATTCACGTCTCTAACGCCTGAGATCAATGAGAGAATGCTGAATAACAGAAGTACCTCGAACGGCAACTCAGACTACATCCTCCGTGATCATCATGCAGTTGAATAGTACGATGAGGAGATATAAGGCAGTGGAATCCATGTGAAAGACCCACTCAGTCAGATAAAACTGAATGAATACAAATTCCCAAAGAGCCTCAACAGAACTTCCAAACTTCTTGCTGCTTCTCATCCACTTATTTGCTGCATAATTCATTCTCTACTTTCCTCTGCAACTTTAACCACTGCTTTAAATGATTAAACCTCCCAACCTGTGCTGACTTATGGGAATACATATATCGCTACCTCAAATCAAACATTTTCTCTAGCATCGCTGACAGGCTGAGCTGAAAAGTAGAAGTGCTGATAACAGTCTTCAGAACTGCAATCTGTGGCAGCCAAAGCATCTCGCCAGCCTGGCTTTGCCGGGCTCTTGTGTGGCAAACACTCTTCAAACCACCGCACACAGGAAGCCCCGACTCGCCCTGTGGGGAGGGGAAGATAGATGGAGCGTACCTGCCACTCGTCTTTCATCGTTCCGCCAGTTTGATGCCACAGACGCTAATGGCTCTCAAGGGAGGAGGAAAATTAAGCATGGTTTGGTTGTAATGAATTCAAAGGCACAGGCTAAAACCCAATATGAGGATGATGGTTTTGGAGGCCTTGTGTGGTAGACCCTGCGGCTTTCGGCACTGGATTATAATTTGTAATAAATGTATAAATGTCAAATGCATCTGTCTCAGGCTGACACTGCTGCAGCTGTCTGCCATATCTAGAAGGAGGCAGCTAACTGGGTCTGCCGGAGAAAAAAAAAAGAAAGAAAACAGAATAACATATGTAGAATAGTGGGCTTGACATACACTTCATATCCATTGCTGACAAGACAGCATGTATATTTAAAGAGGCTCAAGATACAACATGGAATAAAAATTCATGCTTTGCTCGAATCTGAATTTGAAAGAGAATAGAGGCCGTCAGTGCCCAGCACCTTGTTTCAGTCAGGAGGCGTTCACTGTGCCTGGTACAGCTCAGTGGTACCTATTTGATGAGGGGAAAAACAGACACCAATTAAATTATTCCACAAGGCTTTAGCCCAGTGGACCCCAAAACCAAGCCGCCAAGCACCACCCCCTCCCCCCAGCCCGCCTCGGGAGGATGCAGTGGTGTCGTGCCAAAGCTTTTTCTCATCTTTGTCAAACTAATTCAAAAATACAATGCAGCCCCCTCCCCCGCTGGTAATAAGTGGGGTGTAGGAAATACAATGAATTACTCTTGACTTTGTACGCGGAGCCGCAGATACTGTACAACACAAACACGTCTGTGGGT